GTTCGTCATCGTCCAGGCACTGGGGACCGAGTTTCCACGTTTCTGCTTCCAGCCTCTGAAGGGTACTGATCCACGGTGGGAGAGATCTGGACAGCGGGAAGAGGAACTCCTTAAAACCCATTTTCTAGTTGGACAGACTGAAGCTCAGGGAAGGTCAAGAATGACAGGACCAGTATCCCACGCATGACCGGAAATCCCCCTTCCGATCCCCTGCCTGGCTCAGACAAGGGCATTCATGTCCCGGGAGGGTAAAGTGCCCAGCCCTCCTGGTCTCTGCCCTAGTTACCCCACCCCACCCCAGGCCCGCAGTGGAGGCTGCTGGAAAAAAGACTCCTTGAAGGTGGCTTCCAGCCTCTTCCCCAGTCTCACGGGGTGATGTTGGAGGATAGCTTAAAAAAGGTCAATGCTTAGGCAGGTGTAGGATGGGCAACTGGGGAAGGGGCTGGGAACTGGGCCGGGAACAGCCTTAAAGAAGGCCATAGCATCACTGCAGCCACAGAACCCAGCTGAGTCACTGGGAAACTGAGCCTGTTTCTCAGGGGTGGTACAGAGCATCTCAGCAGTCCCTGCACTTGAGGTAGCAGGTAGCGGTCAGGGTGATCGAGAGATGTAGGTGGATAGAGCACGGGAGCCACAGGCAGCCCTACCAACCCTGGCTGTGGTTCATATGAAAAGCTGTGGGTGAGCACAGATGTCATCCGAACTCCTGGGCTCAGGGATCCAGGGATCAGGGTGGGTGGAACCAGAGGCAGGAGGCTGGGGAGGGTGGGGTATGAAGGGAGGATTTGGGAACTGATAGTGCAGCTGAGGCAGGGAGGGGCTGGGGAGAGGGGTCATGGCAGCAAGCAGGAGGCCAGTTCTGTGCTCCACGGGTCCTTGCTTAGCTTGGGGGAGAGGATGGAAAGCACGTTTTCTTCTCCTGAGAGATGGCAGAAGCCATAGAAAACACCCCCAGATATGCCCTCATCTCTCTCTCTCTCTCTCTCTCTCTCTCTCTCTCTCTCTCACACACACACACACACACACACACACACACACACACACACGGGAGACCTGACACCTGCAGGGGAGAGGTTTATAAAATGGACCAATGCTTGAGCTCTGCCTGGAAGGTGCACGCTGTCCCCCAGTGGAGGGGACAGTGCCTCCACCCCAGTCCCCAAAAGCCCAGCTCTGTGCGAGACCTCGGATCTGACTGCTGCTCACCTCTTCGACGTCATCTCCCTCCGTTCTCCTACCTTGCTCCAGCCACAAGCGCCTGGATTTTGTTCCAGAAACATACCAAGCTCATTTCTCTCTGAAGCGCTTTGCGTTTTCCCCTGCTTGGCATGCCCCTCCCTCTGACCTTTGCCTGACTGCCTCCTTGTCCTTCCAGGCTTCACTCAAATGTCACCTCCTCAGAGAGGCCCTCCCTGATCACTCTCCTCTCTGCAGAGGCCAGGACAGTGGCAGACGATCTCACCCTCTCCCCCCAGCCCAACTCCAGGGCTGGTAGCTGGGAGGCGCAGCCACCGGCAGCTCCCTCCTCCCTGCCCCACATGCCATGCACGCTGTGTACACAAAACACATGATGCTCGCAGACGCACTGCATACAGATAACACGTAGCCCTGCACACGCACCGCATACAATAGAGGGCATAGGCACCCTGTATTCACAGCACACAAACTCTGCACCCCAGCTCCATACACACAACCCATATGTGCATAGTACAGCAGAGACGTAACACCGTGTGTGCACATGCAATAAAAACACCTAGGATAACCCACTTACACAACGCTCACACTTGCTCTCGTTGACAGCCTACATTCATCCCAGGTGCACACACGTGCACCGGCACACCCACACACCATCAGCAGCTGCCCACCCTGCCTCCAGCCGGTGAGGAAGGAACGTGCAGTGACCGCAGCCGCCGTGGGGATGGGGCAGGGGCTGCGCCCCCCACCACCTGGCACGATGCTGTGGATTATTAGTTCCTGGTAATTTAGTGCCCTTGTACAGAGTCGATTTGTGCCTTTCACTCCTAATTGATCTAGTGGCTATTTAAATGGCAGCAGGCATCTGTTGAGAGTAGGAAGGTTCATAAGGCGCAATAATTCATAACACCGTCTGGAATTTGCCTTCCATGTCCCTCAGCTAAACCACTGCAGGTCTCTGCTTAAATCACAGCCATGAAGGCTTCCTTTGGTATTCCACTCAGGGCCAGGAGAATCTTGCATTAAACTGGGATCAGGTTAGATTAGACTATGATATGCTGCGGTATTAGTGGCTGCAAATGAAGACTTATACTGGAGTTTAACCCCTTCACCTGGTTTTCTCTTTGTCTTCAGCGGATGGCTGAGCGAACCCATTGTTTTCCCACCAGCTTCCTGAGGGGGCCCAATAGCTCTTCCAGCAATTTGGGGCTGCAGATGGGCTACCCTCAGATATTGACCCTTTTTTCCTCCAGACTGTGACCCAGCCTGCAGCCTTGGAGCCCAGCTATTTATGCATCAGCTCCCAAAACAAGGGTCAGGGAGCTAGTGTCTAGAGACAGCTTTGCCGAGCCACGCAGCTCATCTGTGGCAGGAATTCACCTCCCCTCAGCCCCCGCTGCCCCCGAGCTTGAGTAGAATGACCAGTAGGTATAGGTTTGAGTGTGGATGGGTCTCAGCACCTTCTGCCTTTCTGCCCAGAATTATTAGAATCCCAGGATGGGACAGGCTCACAGGGGTCCCCCATCAGCCTACAAACGCTATGTAGGCTGAATGTTCAGTCCTTCTCGGCATGTTTAATCATAGCGTGCTGGAGGGAAGACGCATGATCTGTTTTCATTTTCAGGACTTAACTGTGCTTTCCAATACGGTAGCCACTAGCCACATGTTGCTATCTAAATTAAACTTAGTTAAAATTAGACAAAATAAAAGAGCCATATTTTATTTATTTTTTAATAGACCTTTATTGCAGTGTAATTGCTTCACAATACTGTGTTGGTTTCTGTTGTGCAACAAAGTGAATCAGCCATATGTATACATATATCCCCATATCCCCTCCCTCTTGAGCCTCCCTCCCACCCTCCCTATCCCACCCCTCTAGGTCGGCGCAGAGCACGGAGCTGATCTCCCTGTGCTATGCTGCTGCCTCCCACTAGCTATCTGTTTTACATTTGGTAGCGTATATATGTCGATGCTACTCTCACATCGCCCCAGCTTCGCCCTCCCCCACCACGTCCTCAAGTCCATTCTCTATGTCTACGTCTTTATTCCTGCCCTGCCACTAGGTTCATCAGTACCTTTTTTTTTTTTTTAGATTCCGTATGTTTGCATTAGCATACAGTATTTGTTTTTCTCTTTCTGACTTACTTCACTCTGTATGACAGACTCTAGGTCCATCCACCATGGAGGTTGCTTAAAAAACTAAAAATAGAATTACCATATGACCCGGCAATCCAACTACTGGGCATATACACTGAGAAAACCATAATTCAAAAACAGCCATATTTTAAATGTCCATTGGCGTCATGAAGTTAGTGGCTACCGTACTGGACAGCAGAGATTGTAGAATGTCTTCATCACCTCAAGAAGCTCTGTTGGGCAGTGCTGGCTACAACATCCCCATTGGCAGAAGCCTGGGGACCAGACCCAACATACATACTTTCTCCTCTCCCAGCTCGCAGAGCTTACTCAAAAAGAAAGGAGCTAGATGTTGTGGTTCCAGGGCACTGAGGTGAGCAACCAGAGAGTGATGTGCCGTTGCTTTTTGGGAACCATGGTGGGAGGGAATGGGGCTCCAGAGTCCAGTGTCAATATGCATGTAAACACATGTGCACGTGCCGGGTGTGAAGACATAGCTGTTCACTCATGCTGCAGAGAAATGAGAACGAGATGCACTTATATATGCAAATGGGGTCACACACCTAACATATATATATTCAACAAAGATTTATTAGTATCCACATGCCGCTGCTAGACTCTGGGCAGACAGTGAGGAATGAGGTGGGCTTGCCTCTTGCCCTCATGTAGCTGAGAGTCTAGTGAGGAAGACAGGTGGTAAAGCAAACAACCCAGGGAGCCGTTGGCATAGGTTGAGGGGAGGGGCAGTCAGGGAACCTTCCCAGAGTGGGTGATGTCAAAGCCAAGACCCATACAGTAGCCAGGTAAGCACTTCAGCTTACATCCATCCATCAGAGAACCGTCACACACATGCGCACACTCACACTCACATATTCATCATTCACTGGTTCATTGTCAGTCACAGAATATTTATTAAGTGCCTGCTATCAGCACCAGGGCAAGGTCCTAAGGATACAGTGATCATTGAGACAAAGACAGTCTTGGAGGAAAACACTGGACAAATAATGATGCAAATAATTGTTTAATTACAGTTGTGCTAAGTGTGTGATGATAGAAACGTGTAGGGAGGTGTTACACTGCGTCGGGCAACAGATGGATAGAAACGTGAAGGGAGGTGTTACACTGAGTCGGTCAACAGATGCAGGACAGGTGGAGACTTCTGCCCACCACGTGTGACGAGTACTCAGGTCCACACCCCTCCACGTACACTTGCAAACACACAGGTGCTGCCCTCGGCTGGCTCCACGCAGCCAAGGGCGGGTGTGTGACCAACCACGAATGTTCACATCCAGGACTTTTCTGGACACTCTTCCCATATTTCCTTCCCAGATTGACACTGAGCCAGAAATGGACACCTACTTCTGTGAAGGGTTATACCCAGCATCCCTCATCAAATATCTGTGCAGTTTCTCTGGACAAAGAGAAAAGTTAGGCCCCTGGTGGGGAGGGACAGAAGCCTCTGAGGCCCCAGGAATCAGGAGACTGAATTCTCTGTGCCAGGGCGTGAAACGCTGCCGTCTGGGCTGACCATGGGGACTGGGGCCTTTTTCAGGGAGTGGGACCCTGGGAGAAGAAGTGACGGCAGTGTGGGAAGGGACCCTGGTGGCTTCTGAGCCCCGACGGCAGCAAGTCTCTGAGTGCGCATGTGTGAGCTCTTGATGTCCCCGCAGGCACCCTCTTTTCCCGCTCCTGACGCTGCTGTTTGAGAAATGTGAACAGGCCACGCAGGGCTCGGAGTGCATCACCTCCGCCAGCTTTGACGTGGACATCGAGAACTTTGTCCACCAACAAGAGCAAGAGCACAAACCCTTCTTCAGCGAGGACCCAGAGCTGGACAACCTGGTAAAGACCCTGCAACCCCGCCCTGGCTAGGCTCTCCCTACCTTCTGATGCCCTCCAGACGCCCTAGAAGCAACCCTTTCATTCATGCATTCAACAAAGAAATTTGCACGCCCCCTGTGGGCAGGCACTAGGTGTACCCTTCCAGCGTCTGAGAACCTTAAACCAAGAGTTGCATGCAAAGGTGTTGCTGCCAAAGCTCTCCCCTCCTCTGCCGCTGAGACACCAGCATCACCTACAACCCCCTTGCAGTGCAGACGGGAGGAAAGGAGGGTCATGGCGCCCAGAATGTCTGGTGTAGCTGTTCCAAGAGCTAGAGTCCTGGCACGCTGGTAAATCTGTCTTGGGCTGCCCAGAGAGGAGCTGATGGCCATGTGCTACAGTGTGGAGGGTGGGGATGACAGGCACAGTCAAGCAGATCGGTGGATAGGAAGACCGGAAACATAGTCACACTGAGAAGATCAGCAGATGTCCTGCCCATTTAGGGGGACGCAGTAGATCAGGCTCCCAAACCTAGCTTGTCATCCACATCATCACTACAGCTTTCAAAAGCACACGGTCCTGGGGCCCACCACCTGGAAACCGTGACTCAGTAAGTTTGGTGGGACCTATGAAGGTACATTTTTAAAGGTTTCCCAGACAGCTGCAATCTTCAATAAGGCTTGGTAACCACTAGATTAGATGATACCTGAAATTCTCATCTAGCCCTGGGAATCCTGTTGAGAAAGAGAGCTGTAGAGAGGCTGCTCTGTTTGTTCATCATGACAGCGGTCATCCTGGGATTATTAACCACAATTCTTGATTTTTCTGTGGGTGGATTGCCCAGATGATGCACGGTGAATTTGGAAACTCTGAAAAACTCTCTTCCACAAATTGATTGATTATAGCACTGACCTCTTGCAGTCAGAGTTTAGTTAGTACCTACTCCCAAAAGGGAAACAGAATTAGAAAAGCAAATGTGACTCCAAAAAGCAAGGAAGAAAAACACACATACACAGTGCACTGGCAGAACAGATTTAAATGACTTGGGTATTGTTCTGTGTCGTGAATTATCCACCCCACTGCTTCTCTCAAGAGTTGATTATGCTACTTTATGGAGGCCAGAAGACCTACCAGGAGAGCCCCCCAGCCTGGCCTGGAAATTTGTGAAATATTATGATGCGTTTAGAGGACAGAGGATAAGCACCTGACCGGGGTCGGGAGCGTTAGTGCAGATTTCTGGGAGCCGCAAATCCACCTCTGCTTGTGCCTGGCCCTCCCTATCCCCTGGCTGGGATTGAGCAGACATCCTTCCTGGGAGCCCAGACCACTGTCTCTCAGGTCCCCTAGGACAGCTGTCCCCGTGCAGGTTCTCCAGTTGGTCCAGCAGTAAGTGCAGGCTGGCCTGGCCCTGCCCTGCTGTTTGGTTGCTCAGAATCTCAGAACCGCAACTGTGAATCAGGTCTTTAGAAGCTACACCCGCAGCAGCCATGGAACCAGGAAGTGAGGCAGCCGTTTCTGCAGGAGCTGGAATGGGCACTCCTCTCCCTTGACCCCAAAAGAAACTGAGGCCTAAATTGGTAGGAAATACCTAAAATAGGCTGAGTGATATGAAAGAATTTAAACCTTCAGAGGTAGGAGTCCTGGGGAAACAAACCTCACAGACCTTGCCCACTACCACCTGCCAGGTGAGCCATAGAACACCCCCCGAGGACAGCCTCTTATTCTAGCACAGCCTGGAAAATACCGAAAAGTGTGGCCACCTCCCTGTTCTCCCCTGGCCCACACTACCTGGGTCTCTCAGAGTTCTGTTCACTCAAAGATTCAGATTTCTTCATTAATCCAACAAAACTTGGTTAGTGTCTGCTACGTGCCACGCCTGACCTAGGCACGCAGATGTTGTAGGAGCTGCCCCAATGGCCCCAGACCCCCGGTGTTCCCTGGGCCTCTATCTCAGGGGAACTGGGCTGGGAGTGGTCCACTGGTGGAGCAGGCCTTGGACAGCCCACCTCCTCATGTGGACCTGATTTACCCAGAGCAGTTAGCTGCAGTCAGTGACTGACGGATGGGTCGATTATTTAAATGGAGACCATTGAAGGAGCCAAGGACCTCAGCCCAGCTACACAGCTCACCCTCTGGGTGACTTTGATGACAACTCCTTTGAAGCTCAGTTTCCTCGTCTGTAGAGCCAATACGCCTGTCTCCCGTGACAGTCATAAAATATTCACGAGATGGCTTGTGGAACTAAATGCATGGCATCCGGAAGGTTAAGGTCAAATGCAGTATCACTAAAACCAGGCATTCCAGCCACCTCACCTCACCTCTAGGCCATCAGAGAGACTGTGTGGCCTGAAGCCTGAAACTTCACCGGGAGTGGGGGGAGGATGTCAGGCAGCGCCCTTTGCCACCCGACTTGTAGTCCTGTGTCGGGAGGGGAGAGATGAAGAGGCCGATCACATGAGCCATCATTAGAACAAGAATCATGCAGCCAGCACAGCCGAGATGCACATAATTAGAAATTAGAAAAAGGTCAGATCACGTCATTATCAGCTCAATCAGCTACCGAGTGCCACAGCCAGTTAATTTGGCATCTGTATTTTTTACAACCCCACACACGTAGCCCAACGGACTGTAACTCTTTATCCGGACAGATATACTGCGCAGCGGAGCAGGGACATAAAATGAGACCCCAAGCAAATGAGCTGAGATAATTGAGAGATTTATTTTTTATATATATGTGTGTCAGGGCGGCTTTCCTTTGCCCTTGAATGTTGACTTTCACAGATGGGATTGTCAGGAGGACACTAGGATCCCCCGAACTCTGTCCGGTGCTGGGCTCTCGGGTCCTGCCTCCTCCCCAGCTCCCCCAGGCCCACCACGGGCACGCGGGTCCTCCCCCTCCAGCTGGTCCCCTCATCTCGTCCATGCAAATCTCTGTGTCTACCTGCCCCGCTCCACGGTCTCTCAGACGAGTTCCCATGGGCACTGCTTACTAAGCTCTGCCAGAGCTGCTCAGAGACCAGAGAAGTTCCCAGAGTATAGGTTTCTGAGGGAACCTCCCTCCCCGGTTAGCCAGCTGCCCGAAAAGAAACTTAGAATCACAAAACGCTGGTGGGGAAACCACAAGTGTGGAAAGCAGCACGCCCATTTTATAGATGGGGACACTGGAGTCTGGAGAAGGGCAGTGACTTGTCAGCATCCAGGTCTGCTGGCTCCTTGCACGCCATCACCCACCTCTCTGCTTCCCGGGGGGTAACAGAGACCTCATTTATACAGGGTACCACCAACATCTCTCCCCCTGGTACCCACACTCTCTGACCCTCTCCACCTCCCCATTTCAGTGCCATGCGGGTGGCTTTCCACCCCCATGGTGGCTAAGCTGGAATGCTCCCCCGGGGATACCCTCACTCCAATTCCGACACCCACCCAGCGTTCACCAGGCCTCTGGCACCTGGCCCTCGGATCCCCTGCTTGGGCCCAGCAGCCTCTGACTGGCAGTTGGTTCAGTCTGTAAAATTCACAAGTTCCCCAAACCCCTTTGAAAGGTAAAAGCTTTTTGTTTTATAAAATCTGATTTACGGGCCCCCAGTGCAGGGCCGAGGTTTTATATATTATGCAAGATTTCAAACCGAAGCTGTAAAACGTACGGTTTCAGTTTCATGCATGGAATTTTTTTATGTGTAACTTTTTTAACACTTACGGGGCACGGCACGTTTTAATGAGACCCTGGTGTGGCTTAAGGGACAGATTATAGCTGCCTGACCGCAAAACCAGCTCCAAGGGCTTCCCTGGTGGCGCAGTGCTTGAGAGTCCGCCTGCCGATGCAGGAGACGCGGG